CCGCCTGGCCCTCCTTTCTACCAACCGGCAGGAAACAAACACTTAAAACTCTCATTCCCCGCCCCGAGAACGATGTAAAGGAACGAAGAGCCAAGAGGAAAACGCTCCAAACGCAGCATTTGGTTCAGTGGTTTATTTTCTCCAGCACGCAGCAATACAGTAACAGCCACAGCGATCACCTATACATCCAAACAGCACTTGAAATAAAAACACCGTTTTGTTTCTTGCTTGTGGCAAGCGGAATGAGGGGGTTTCGCCCCAGGGACTTTACGCGTGGGGGTGCCGTGGTGACCTCCCCCCACCCGTGACTCTCCTGCAGGAGCAGAGGGAGCCAGGTGCCCACCTCACATTTGCCAGCGAGGGCACCCCGGCTCCTGCTGCCCCCAGGCCGGGCAGCTGAGAACTCTCGCACTCACAGTTTGACTCCCACTGCACACAGTAATCACCAAACCATGGGTATTTTCAGCACCAGCTCACTGTAACCGTTTCTCTACAAATACAGATCAAAGTCATTAGAAGAACATGCTACAAAAAAAAAAAAAAAGTAGTAACTTTGATCCCAGCATTGTTGGCCTATTCTGTTTACCTGCATCTAGCACAGGTGCTCAATAAGGCAGCTGTAACAGCACATAAAATTAAGGTCTATGCTTAAAAATGAAGCGTTTCTGTTGTGCCCAGCTACTCCAGCTATATAGACAGATACCCACGTTACTGACTGCTGCAGAAAAAATGTGCATAAAAATAAAGGGCTGCTTAGAGGCTCTGCCCTCTGAATTTGCCAAACAGTATTTTCAGTGCCAGCACCCTGCAACAGATGCCAGTACTACTTTATAAGGCTGACAAAGAAGAAAAAAAAAAAATCAAACCAACTTTTGTCATCTTGCTGGTACAAACCTACTGCAGGTTTCAGTCTCTAGTTTCCTCAGTTACTAGACTAGTCTGGACAGCTGTCCATCATGGACAACTCTCCACCAAAGACTAAAGAGCACTGAACAGGTGGGATAAGCTTGTGTCTGGCTTACGAAGCCACTCCTGCCCATGTGCTCTGAAGGCATTTTTCATGTTTACATTAACAATGTGTTTTGATATGCAGGTATTTTAATGCCAGTTGACTACAAAAAACAGCCAAGATCCCACTGGAATTGCTACTGATATTTATAGATTTATCTCTGTCTTTTAGTCACTGATCCTAAAAATCTCTAGGACAACACTTCCTATGTCCTACCCAGCACATGGACAAAAGAAGCCCACCTGAACTAGCAGCTATTAAGGTTGTAGGCTAACAGAAACCACTAGTAAAAAATTCAAAATGAACTGAACTCATCCAGGACTGAAATCCCTCACGACCAGAGATGGAGCATGCCCGATTTCTGCAACAGCCAAGGATGCAGGACAAAAAAACCCCATGGGGTAAAGCGCGCCGAATTTATGGTGGTTTACCAGACCACTGGAAAACACAGCATCCAATCCCTACAAAACCCTCTGGGATGCAGCAAGGTTGCACCTCAGACTCTGCATTTCAGCAGAACAGAGCTGTGATGAGAGTCTTGGAGGGAAAGAGAGCAGTCTTACTGATTTATGGTTTTTTTTCCCCCCTAGGAATGTGTAGTGCTCCTGAGGAGCAGTACAAGAGCAGGAACAGAGGCACATCAGCTCTGAAGGTGACCAGCACCATTAGCCTAACAAAGGCAAGACTCATTTAGACAGATGAGGGTCAAATCAGACCACTGCAAAGGGTGACACATTCAACTGTAATAGACATGGGAAGAACTCCAGGGGAAATCAGCCACATTTTGAGAGATCTGTAATGACATGGGACTGCCAAGACAGGAGGTAAGGATAGGAAAATGCAGTAGTCAAGGCATGAAAAATTCTGTTTTGAGAGGTTTAGAGTGTGTGTGTATGCGGTAACAGGGTTGTTTTGAACTTTGTTTTTCTAAAACTTGCTTTTCAGAAGAAGAAAGCCATGCTGTGCGCATCCCAGAAACAAAACAGCTTTCCATGAGATCATGGTATCCAAGCACCAGAGGTAGCAAATGAAAGAAGAAGAGCAGCAGATGGGTTTTTGACAGAGTTCAGCTACAAATTCAAGAAGTGAATGTAGCACAGGGCAGAAGAGCACAAGTATCATAAGAGATTAGACTGAAAAAGAGAGAAGAGTTACTTCCTCTTCAAAGAGCTCAAATAAGCTAATGGCTTAAGAGCATGGAAGATAAAAAAAGCCATGGCTGGACAGACATTTTTTAATCATACTCACCGGTACTACCAGTCCAAGCTTGGGAATACTAGCACAACTGCTCCAAGAAAAGAGTAAAAAAAAAAAAAAAGCACAGGATGGGTGATCAAGCAGATGCTATAAAAACACAGCTGACAGCTACTGTACCGTGGCACAATCCCTCTGTTCAGAGCTGTGCTTCTAACAGAAGTCCAAAGGCTTAATCAAAATGCAATAGCATAGAATAAAAGACACACAAAATGCAAAGTGCTTGATGAAGGGAGGGAATGTACCTAGATTTTGTCAGTGTTCCTGTTACGAGATAAAAGCCCAGAGTAGCTTCTAGTGATGGCAAGTTATACTGGGGAGGAAGAAAGTGAGTGCTTCCAAAAGACAAGTCTGTTTTTCTCTCCAAACAACTGCTCACCAAGCACAGAGATATAAGGTTCATTCACGTGTGGATCTGGTGGGGCCGCTAAGACCCCACCACAAGCTCAGTGCTCCCCTCAGGATGTATTAGCAGAGCCGAGGGCAACACCTTTCTCTATGCCCTGGCTTCAAAGGAGCCCAGGGACAGGATTCCATCGTCACTGTGGGCAGGAGATGTAATCTTGTTAACTTAAGGAGAGACTGAAGGAGGAGGAAAAGCTAGTGATCCACTGGCTGCAGAAACTCCTCTGATCCCCATTTCTTAGCTGGTAAAAAAACAAACACATACATTCAAAAACACCCTAACAAAACAAACCACCCAAACCTCTCAATTCCAAACATTGCTTTCTGAGACAGAGTAGTTCAGGCCTTCATTGTGTGACAGACTGACATATGCCACACTGTTTTAACCTGTCAGACATGGTCTTACCAAACACTTATTCTCTGTGCAAGTTTTTTTATACAGCTGATGATTTAAAGCAGTGGTAAGGCTGGATCAGGAATAAATTCTAATTGTTTCATTTCTGGTATTTCTAAAGCTAGCTAGTCAAGGTAAAGCTAACACAATTAAAGCTAAAAAAAAGCTAGCACAATTCTGTTACTTATTCATTATATAGCAGTTGCTCAATATTCACCTGCCCTGCAAATGCAGAATCTATTTATTTTGCCATCATCTTTTTAATCCTTATCCTTCCTGCAGTTACTTTCAGAGTGGTTAAAATACTAGGACTGTAAGCTCAAACTGTGTACTTAGGTATACACTTAATCATCCTTAACATGCTGCTTCCCCATAGATGCTGTCAAAGAAAATGTTGCTGGCTTTGCATTTCTCAGCTGTGGCTCTCACAAAGAATGTAACTGTTCTGCCAGCACAGGTTTGTGTTCAGTCACACTGAACTAGAAGTAGTCAGCTCTCCCACTCAGCTGGTTTCCCAAAGTAAATCAACACTTTACTTAGAGAAGCTGTTGTAGTAAGTGACTGTCTCAGCCTATAGCACTCTTCCCCTTGATATCAAACAGACTTCAATGCACCTTTGCCATCTAGGCAGCGTCAGTGGGACACAGCACCACTTCAAAAGTCTTTTTGCTGGGAGTCATATGTTAGAGATAGAGCCAGAGCCATGCTTTTACAGCCTAAGAAGTGTACTTTTGTTGCTGATTAGAGAAATCGATGAAAAGCAACTCACATCACAAGACATGAAACAAAACATTTAGTGCAAACACTTAGAGCAGGATTTCACAAGAGAATCTGCTTGCAGTAGAAAGCAATTGAGAGAATAAAATGCAAAGAATCCACAAGCTACTGAGAGAAGAACCACCATAAAAAGGATGGAGTGGACTGAAGAATACCACTCTGTGTAAACTAGGTGGATGCAGAAGAGATGAGTTTGTACCAGTATAAACACATGCTACTTATTACATGTCTTTTTTCTTGTTTTACACTGCTCACTACTTTGTATCCACTGATTTTGATTGTGCTAAAATAAAAACCACTGTGGTTTTATTTAAACAAACAACACCACTGAAGTAAAAAAACCCCATTACATATAATTACATACAGTAAATAAATTTACTAAAAAAAGCCCAACCTAACCCCCCCAAGGTAATATTCCTATAATAGATTTGGCACTTCCACCATGCTTTACTAAGTACAGCATTCCACAGTACCATATGCAATGCTAAATCCTAAGTGAGAAAAACCCTTACAGTGTTCATTTCTATCAGGGGGAGAAGGGAGGGACACCAGAAAGAACACCAATAAAAATACCTAGTCTATATCAAAGGTACCTCTCCCATTAGAGGATGGAATAGAAAAATACGTACCACTTATAATTTAACAGCAAGCTCTCTTCCTGGCAACCAGGATTACAGGTTTATGCTGAATACAATCTTATGTTCAAACACAGAGATCAGCAGCATTATCCCAAACCCCAGGAGAATCCCCGCGTTCTGCAGCAGGAAGTATCCCCAGCGGCTGCACCCATGGTCGCTGGCATCGTTGTGGAGCATTTCAGGCACCTGAACAAACAAGGAAGTGTTAAATGCCTTAAAAATAAACTGTTTACTTCTGACCCAGTTCTTCAACCATGAGCCACAAAGCAGAAGAGTCATAGAATCATAGAATCCTTTAGGTTGGAAGGGACCTTCAAGATCGTCAAGTCCAACCATTGAGCCATTAGGGCTCTAAGGTCCTCTGCTAAAACAGATCTGACTCCTCAAGTCTTTCGGATTGACTGCATTAATGCTACTCCTTCAACTGGCTGTCACTCAATGTGAATAACTTCATCAGTCTGCTCTCATATTTACAGACAGAGAGACTCTGTGGTGTTCTAATTAATGTTTTCATTATAATTATGCTAATGCCTTAAGCCAGCCATTTACTCACAATATGATTATTTACCAATTGATTTGATCAAGGCACACCAAGAATTTTATCCTCCAGAAGACAGTAATGCTTCCACAAACATCTACCAGATACTTTGTACTTTTGTACGAACATACTTCTGAGGTGCAGGACTTGTTTTAATACAGTTCTGTCTTCATCCCAAGCAGCAACAGTGACAGTGCAAAAGCCCAAACACCTCTGGCGTTGCCGACAGTGTGCAACTTGCAGTCTTACTGGCTGTCTGCTATGCCAGTCCCTGTCAGAAGCATTTTTCACTCTGCCTCTGCTGTTAATTGCCTCTGTTGAACATCTAAGGGAGAATCAACCTCTGTTCCTACAGTAACCTAAATAAAAGCAATCTTCCACCTGAACAGGTGACTGAGCACTTACACCACATACTCATCAGCATCCTCAAGTGCAGAAAAAGTTAATTGAGGGAGAAAAAGACAGAAGGATTTATTTTGAGATTAAGAATTAATGCTAATTATATTTTGAACTACATTACATAAAATTCAAGTAGGTCTAGCCACTTACCATATCCACAAGAGCCACATACATGAACAGGCCAGCAGTAAGTGCAAATATCCACATGGAAACATTGTCTGCATAGTGACCGATGAGGATCCCAGTCGCCATTCCCAGGTAGGCCAGCATAGCTGACAGAGCATTGTAAAGCACAGCCTGCTTGACAGTCATGCCCGCTTTCAGAAGTACAGCAAAATCTCCTGTAACAGGGAAAAACAAATCCTCAGGTAACTATTACAGTATTCATGAGTTCTCCTCTTACTTACAAGATTACTAAGCTATTTTTATGCTGTTGTTTGCCTTATTTAGCTTCCTTCACAAAATCAGGAATTGCTGCAGGACAGAAAATTAAAAAGCATACAAGAAGAATAACACAGCAGCAAACACTGTGTGCTTATAACCTTAAAGTCTTAGGATTTGGGGGAAAAGCAGCTTTTAGTGTAGTCTGCATTTAAACCAATCCTATAGAACACTGCAGTACCTGATGTGCATGAGCATTCTAAAGAAGTTTCTAAAATAAAATATTCCCATTTAATTGCATAAAGCAATAATGATGATTCCATTTATTATCCTGTAACTGCTGTGCACTTCAGCTGTTTCACAAATTTTGAAACAATTTCTGTATTAATGTCTCTAAATCTATGTTTCTGTGATTCTCTAAATGATCCTTAATGTCTTTTTTACTTGAAGGAATGATAGACTACCAGCCAGAAACAGGTTTTCTGCAATTCAGAATAGACAATTTTTTTTTGTTTAGATTAGTTAGTTCTAAAAGAGAGTAAAATAGCATAAGCTTATTATTTGGAAATAAAATGAATTCTATACAAAAAAATAAATCAGTTATCACCAGCTGAATTAAACAAAGCAACCTTCAAAGCTGAGTTATTTTTTACAACTTTTCCCACAAGATATTGGAATTAAGATGAACGGGTATGTTAAAAAGACTGTTTAGCATTAACAACAGAATGATCCAATTTTATCCCCAGCTAACTTCAGCTAGTCCCACCTGTTTCAGTATTCCTATGCCACTTCATGTCCTCTGTTAAGAAGGTATTTCTATCACGCTTTCTGCACTGACTTAGATTTAAAAATTCTCTTTTTTTTGCTTCCAAACCCAACAGAACACTTGAATCTAAAATTATCAGATTCATAACACAGAATTATTTTGTACATTTGTGCTAACAGTATTTAGTACATATAATTAAAACAAGTTCCAAGATTCCCATGGAATTCATATTCAGATGAGCAAGACTCAACTCCTCCCATGTCATAAAATCGGGCACCTTTTCTCCAGAGTAAGGTATTTCTGTGTAACATTGGACAGACAGACAAATACATCAAACTGTTTAATAAATACCTCGATGTGTACACATACTGGTTTATAAGCTCCAGTAAATGAATGTTCTGAGACCTGAGAAAAGCAAATTCTGACATGCTTTCTTCTGCAATTCAGGGTTTATATTGCTGAGGAAAACAAACTACAACTCAACTACAGAGAACAAGTTGTAAGTAACTGCAACAGACACAGTTTTAAACAAAGTAAAAAATAAAAATATTTCAGCTAAAGGAAGATTAATTCAATTAAGAAATAAAAGTAATTAAGTTAGAAGTATCCTTGAGTAGACAACTGGACACAGATGAAGTTTTCTGGTGAAATTTTACTGTGCCACAGAATAAAATCACTTGTAGTTCTCTGAAGTGCATCTCAAAGTACCTATACCTACAGCATACAAAAATACTGGAGTCTTACCTAGCTCATGAGGTAATTCATGGCAAAATACAGCCACAGAAGTGCTTAAACCGCTAGATAACCCTTCAGTAAAGGCTGCTCCTGTCAAGAGAAAAAAAAGAGAAAAATAAACAAACATTACTGCATATTCAGACATCAAGTGCACATGCACTGTGTTGTGTGTGCTTGCACCAGATGAGGACATAGTAGCCTCACTCAGATTTTTCTTATGCTTGTGAAAACTTGTAAACTGAATAGTCGTCGGTTATGATTCATAAGTTTCCAAATCTGAAGGAACACAGAATCCTCCAAGTAGTTAAAGCAAACCCATTTCATTATCTTATTTCTGAACAAAGCCAATACCTTTCAACGACACAACTCTCCCCCCTCCGCTCCCAAAATCAGTAAATGGAAATACCCTCAGAAAAGACACAAAAAAAGTGTCTTTTTTTAAAAAAATTATACAAAGGGAAGAAGGCAGCTTAACTGCCTCAGAGCCAGGCCCTGGAAAATGGGAAGCCAGCTCAACAGTAAGAAGAGCTCTATAGTCATGTGAACACCAGCAATGAAAGACTGAATTCTAGGCAGTTTGCACATCAGTGAATGATCATATTTTAAGCACAGGGGGGGAAAAAAAAAAAAAACAAACACACAAAACCCCATTAAACTAGTCCAACAGTCTCCATCGTCCTTGTTTTCTCCACTCCTCCTGTTGCTTGCTCTTCTCCTGACAGGACAGCAGCTGAGGAAGCAGCTCACAGCGGGGCTCACGCCCAGCGCCGAAGGCCCCGGCCCGGGCAGCCTCGCCGAGGGGAGCAGCAGAACCACGCCCAGCCTCCTCTTCAGCACTGCCACCAGCCTGCCAGCAAACAGGCACTGCCAACAACCTGCCAGAGGCACGAGGCCATGCCACAGCCAGGGAGACAGGAGTACTGCTCAGAGAAAGGGCTACCACAGCAATGAGCCCACAGGAGACAATGCCAGCCCCAGTACTCCAGCAGCTGCTACTGAGATGTGACTCCCAGGGGTGGACACTGCTGTCCAGGTCTTCATCTGCAAGAAATGGCAGATGCTCCTCCCTGCCCTGACAACCACAGCAGCTGCTCCTCTGGGATGTGTACTGTGGGACCCAGTGAAGGAGATGCAAAAAGCAGTAAGCAGGTATCACTGAGTGAGGCATAATGAGCAGGGGTTCGAGAGGGTCTTCATAAGGGGTTCTACAAAGGCAAGAGCCCAAGCCTCTTCAAACTAAAAAGAAGAAAGCAGGACAACAGAAGCACTAGAACTGGAAACATGAACTCCCAGATAGGTAAAATTTGAAAACAGTGAAGCCTGGCACGGGAATAACCCTTCATCCCCTCATGCAGCTGTTTATCTAGAGAATATGGTCATCCCCTTGGCACGTGATGGACAATGAATGACTTCTGCCTAGCCCAGAATATTTATCCAGCACATCAGATTAGTAATACAAAAAGAATACAAATAGTTTTAGTGACAGGAGATTCCCTCCCATGCAGGATAGAGAGCAGAGGCAGACCCACTGACCAGAGCTATAGCCCAGGGTAGTCCACTGCGTGATCACAACCTGCCTGGATGATGCTGTGGAGACACCACCAAAGCCTGTTTGGCCTGCCATGGATAGGTACAGAGATTGCCCAGAAAAAGAAAGAATACAAGTAAGCTTTTGGTGGTTTTTGTCTACCTACATACAGGACCTCCTTGACTGCACAAAGCTCCACTATAAAACTATGAATTAATGCGGTTTCTTGTGCCCACTGAGTCTCCTGGTCATAGATCACAGTAACACTAGTAATACGGTTACAAACCACATAACCAAGAAAAGGTGGTGGATAAGGCTACCTATGAACAACCACACAAGATGTCACCATTCACATGAGAGTTTTCAGCTGTGAAGGTAACAGCACTGGGCACACAGTCCATGATGTTCCTTAATTGTGTTGGCAATGTTTTCCTGATACAAATGATAGAAGAGCGAACCAGGATTAGAGTTGTGCCTGACCTGCTGCTCACAAACAAGGAAGAACTGATGACAAATACAGCAAAAAGTGGCATCCTGAGCTTCAGCGAGCATGAGGTAACTGAGTTCAGGATACAGAATCAGGCTGGGAAAGGAAGAAACAAAATTAGGACTGTAGATTTCAATGAAGCAAACTTTGACTCATTTAAGGAGCTGCAGGGTAGAATACGCTGGGAACAGTGCACAAATGAACCACCCTGTTCAGAAAACACTAGGACTTCCAACAGAAGGTATGCCTGGCTAGGCTGTGTCTTCATAGATTAAGACTCAAAAAGAAAGCACACAAGAAACAGAAACAAAAGATTAGCAACAAGGAAGCTAAAAGCAGTGGAACAAAAAGGACAAAGACTGACAGAAATCTTACAAACTTCAAAGAGGAAAAGTGAGAAGTTCTGCACGTGGGGCAGAAAAACTTCATGCGTTAGTACAAGGGAGGAACTGACTGGCTGAAACAGCAGCCTTCCCAAAAAAAGACATGAGGGTTATGATGCACCAGTTGACCATCAGCCAGCAGTGTGCCCTCCCTGCTAGTACAGTGAACCACCAACTGCACAGTCCCTGGAGAAGCAAGGCCAGGAGACTAAGTTCTTATCCCCTTCTGCTGCTAAGCACTGTTGAAGCTGTTCCTGGACTTCTCTGTCCATTGTGGGTGTCCCAGTTCAAGGCAGGTATGAACACTGCCCAAGAGAGGCTGACAAAGATGGTCAGAGGTCTACAGCATAAGGCTGAAAAGCTTGAGGAAGCAAGGTGTATTTAACCTCTCTCTCCACCACAATAAGGGAGTGGTCTAACAGCAGCTTGTAAGAACCTTTAGTGCAGTCACAAATATGAAGAAGCCTTCAAAAAAGGAAAAGAGGCTGCAAATGACAATTTGGGAACTTTGGGCTGGACATAAATAAAACTCTTTATTAATAAACAGTAGTGCAACTCTAGAGGAGGTCAGCCACAGATGTGGTGGAATCCCCCCATCTGTGGAGGTTTTCAAGGCTTGGCTGTGCAAAGCCATGACTGAGTGAATCTAGTGTTCCCAAGAGCTGCTTCAAGTGTAGGGTTCAACCTGATGACCTCTGGAAGTCACCCATTTCTAAGACTCTGATTTGTTATGCCCAATTCAGAGATGCACAGGGTGCAAGACAAAAGCTATTTTGAGGTGAGCCCATTGAGCTCTAAAACATTCATGGGAGCCTACACAGTAATTAACAGGTAAGCGACAGGAGTTACTGCTACCTGACTACCAAAAAGAGGGTTTTAGAAACACTATCCATCTTTTCTAGGTATTGGTCTATTGTCCTCACCTCCAAAATTGCTTTATAGTTTTGGAGTCAAATTTTGAGACAGAGAGGATAGCTACAGTTACTTCCTACTAAGAAAGGAGAATTCATCAGCATTCAATCAGGCTTCAGCTTCTGAGGGGACTAGATAAGTAGAGGAAGGCAAAGGGTAATTACTTTCTCCCACACCTGTACCCTAAATAATCTACAAGTTGCTCTGTATTACTCTCTCTATACAATATTTTCCCAGTCTTATCACTTAGAGGAAAGCTAAAAATACAAGAATCCAGCTTAATCACACATGGTAAATCTAATTTTGGGACCACAAAACCAAGCCAAACAAAACCTGACTGCTTTGCAAAGCATCTAGGTGGCTGATATGGCTGTATACTGTACAGATACAAAACAACCAAGGGACAAGCTTAACTAAGGAATATCTATTTTTACTGTTCAGTGCTAAAAAGATGTCTCGAAACATTAACCAACTGAAGACTATGTTAATATATTGGGTATTGTCCCCACTCAAGAAGCTGATGAGTAGTGCCATGGTGTCTTAAAATATACTCTTAAGACTTCACTTCTCTCAAAAAAAGACCTAAAGAAAAAAAAAAAAAAATTCTGCAAGATTATCATCAACATGGTGTTCTACATTTTAGTTACTTAGTTGAACCTACACAGAAAAATTCAAACTACAGAAGCTCATTTTGTACGAAGTAGATGCAACTGTTCCATGTTTTAATAGAAAAATAAGCACTTATATCTTATTCCTCCATAATTAGCACAACAGATTTGAGGAAAAAAGTAACTGATGGAAGTTACGAATAACAAATCACAGAGAATGAATGAAGTGAATGAAGAGCTACTCTGGCTAAAGTGATCTTCACAGAAGCATTTACATCTTCATTTAAATACAAGTAAAATGCTATACAAGTAGCACTGGAATTTTCACAACATCATCAAATCAATGTTTTCCTGTAATACTTTTGAGCACATCTAGAACTGAAGGAAAGCCACATTTCCATTAGCCTGAACAAGCTACACAGCAGGACTTATAAAAGCTATTGCTCTCACTTGTTCAATAAGCCTTTATTAACCTTCCTCATGCTTTTCCTTTTATAACTGTAAGTCATAGCTCCTGCCCAAATCTCCCTAATGCTAAGAGGTAATTGATTCTGTATGTCATTTGTATGCAAATCATCCTCCTCCTCCTCCTATGTTTTCACTACTGATCTGCTTGGGAATTTCCATTCCATGCTTCAACTTTCATCAAAAATGCGATTAAATCTAAAGGTCTCTTTTCACATTATACTTTGAATTAACTGAATCTGAACAACTGCAAATACTGCTCTAAGAAAACAGTTATTATTGGGTTTTCTCTTCAAACAAGAATGAACTTGTTTCTACGATAAAATTTACAGAAAGACTGATACTGGTGCACTGACCCCTGTATGCTGTGCAAGCTAGAAATAAATCAAATACCTGTAAAGATTAGTCTTAAATACTAAAGTCAAGATTACAAAAGACTAGTGTAAGAACTGAAGATTACTAGTTTGACTTCAATTTCTCTAACTTACTTTAACCTAAAACTGAAATACCTGTAGTCTAGCTCTCCTAGAAAAAAAAAAAAACAAAACAGGAAATTCTCAAATTTGACCTTCCAACCAGTAATCCAAACCATAGTATTGAATGTGTTATATTTGTGATAAATATTTTTACTGAAGCATTGTCAAAAAAGACTGAACAGCTACAACATGTAAGGGAAACACAGGGACATGAACAAAGAAGGAACAAAAAGACAGACACTATGTTTACATGTAAAAGAACTTTATACGGGCTTAAATTTTTTAAAAGAGAAAAAGAGAACACCAAAAAATGGATTATTATGCTCAACTTTAAGAACCAGATTTTAAGCGGACTATGACTGGTGTTTAAGGAAATAAAACTTAGAATACTTTTCCAGGAAGAGAGACTGAGCCTGTTTTGAAACCAAGTACAGCACACTGAGCATCTCCTTTCATTGATATAGACACCCTTAATCCAAAAATCTGCATAAAGGCAACATATTGGTTATCTTCTTCACGAATCATATTTCTGACAGGCAATAGCTAACTAACATCCTATTAATTAATGCCCCACTCACACATTCCTAGGATACAAAAAGCAGCACAGACCTTCTCTGGAAGGTTACTGCACACACTCACACGAACTGCAATGCTGCTCTTTAGCCAATGGTAAAATCTGAGAACATGGATGTGACAGGACTGCTATGCAAAAGCGTGGAAGCACCTTAGAGAACACAATGCCCTGGATCAAATTCATTTTACAGTGAAAACGAATGCACACCTACCTCCCCCAGCACAAAAATCAAGCATATATGGCCTAATCCATCTGGGGCATCTTCAAGCTAAAGCAGATTTAAACTAGAGCCCTGTCTCCCCACTCACTGGTGCTCTGGGGACACCTGCACAGGATATGTAACCAGGGCTCAGTACAGGCAAAGCCACCCGTGCAAAGCACAGAACCTGACCTTGCTGCATAATGAGTGAAAAGGGATGAGAAAAAAATTAAAAAGCCAATGATACGAGTGGCCTGAGGTAAGTGGAAAAGCATCAGTTGCTCTGTGTGACCAAAACCAAGTTTGTCTTAAAAAAAAAAAAAAAACTAAAATAAATAGCTGAGCACTTGCAGACACTGAAATACAAAGTCATCTCTAAAAGTAGGACTAAGATACCTATAGTTTTAAAATTAAGCCTAGCTTTAGTTTTGAAAAATGGTAGCTTTAATATTGCTAGAAGTAGGAAATAAAGCAAAATTTATAAATTTCCTGAAGGAACATAGCTGTAAGCATGTAATTTGTTTCATTTGTCATTGGTATCCAGGTTGTTAACCCAGGTATTTTTCTTATTTATCCAGAGTTGCTATCGGATAAAAGTTTAGGCTTCAAAATCCACCACCAATTAGTTGTGCTCCTAATACAGAGATAAGTGACAGCAAGAAGACTTTGCTGTCCTCACATAGAGCAAAGGCAGTGTCCCAGCTAACACTTACCAATTGCTAGGCCATCACTGAAATTGTGTAGTCCATCTCCCATAATCACCATCCACGCCAGAGTCGCTATCCCTGCGTCCTTCAGCTCCTCACGCGAGTAGCGCTGACTGTGGCTGTGGGGATGGTGGTTCTGATGATGGTGGTGATGCAGAATATGATGGTAGTCATGGTGATGATGGCTGAGATGATCCGTCTGTCCTAGAGTATCGTGTAAGTGAGAATGACATTTGTTTCTACAGCCCCTGGACACATATTCATTGTCAACTTCCTCTTGATGAGAATGTGCTATCATCACTTCTTCCTCTTCTTTAACAGCTGGCTGCTGAGAAATGAAGGGCGATGGATCCTGAGAGTCCGTCCCTAGATAGCACTCAGGCCCTGTTACAAAAGCCCAGAGTATAGTATTACACATCTGTAAAATCACCCAGGAATCAAAGATGCAATAATCAAGTTCAATATATGATGCAGTAAAGATGAAACTACTAAGTCTAGAAGTTGAGAATGATACCCTAGTTTCTTGCACAGTTCTTTTTTCAAAGGGTTTCCAGAACTTAGTTTTCTTTAATCAGATTTTTAAGGTAATCCCCCAATAGTTCAAAATAAGAAAAATCTTTAGTTTCTGTCCCCTGCTACCAAAATGGCCCCTACATTATGGGCACAAATGTCTCCCAAAGGCTGAAAAAAGCTTTTAATCTAAGACCCACTGCAACTTAAACACAGCAGAAGGCTCTATGTCCCAGTTTCACAGCATGAAGGCTGTTAGCAAAATTGCTTCAGAAAGACAAAGTATCTGGAAAGCACATGCCGTTTATTCATATTAGGGCTGAAGAATAAGAATGCAGAAGAGGAATACATTATAGATAATTTTGGAAACTCCTGTATTTCATAAATACACAGGAGCTTAAGTTTGAACACTTGGAAAATAAACATGCAAAAATAAGTCAACACCAACCATGAAACGCTCTCATATAAACATTAGTGGCACAATCAGGTTACTTTAACTCTTAAAACTTGTTAAATTTTTCCCCTGCAATTAAATGAGCAAATACACTTTTTTCTGTATTACCAAAAACTCCTTCATTAGTTATAAAATTATTCTGAAAAACTTAACACCTTCTAGCCACAAGAGCAACCAAGTATCTAGTGAGGTGTGTTTTGGCTTACAGCATGATCCTAGGGACACACAATCATGTGCAGTCCAAATACTTCAAGTAACCTCTGAGATTTTAGACTATCAACCTTATAAATAAATAAACTAAGAAACTTCAGACTTAAGGTATACTGCAATGTAAATAATGGATCATGCATATACAATCTAAGAGAAGCGAGAAGCCAGTAGGTACACCCGTATTTTGCAACAGGCATGGCCAGAGAGCTTGACAGAATGACTTAAACTTCTGCTGTTAAATCCAGAATTAAAGAGGCTTAAGGACTCAAAGCTGAATTCACTACTTCCAACCCATCGACGTTTTTTAAAGGAAGGCAGCAAATAGAACTAGTCCTCTACATATCAACGCACAGACAGGTTTTGGTTTGAAAAGAATTCAAGTGTTCCAATCTACAGTAAGAAGCAGATCTATGAGCAGCAAATCAATCAGGTTTTTTAGACAGTGCTGTCACAAAACAACCATGCAGTATCACTGAGACTTACGATCATCTGCATCTAACTTTTCTTCATTCGCTGAAAACGTCTTACTTTCTCCATCGTCTTCATTTTTTTTCTTATTCCAAAAGAAAATACTGTAGTTATGAATATTTTACTTATTTTTCAGAATATATATATGTGCAACATTATATGCACAACATTAAATCAGCTTGCACAGGAGGTAGTCAACATGGAAGCCATATAAACAGCGCAGAAGAGGAACATGGGAAACTCAGCAAAGTACAGTAAGACAAAAAAAGTTCCTCAGGCTCCACAGGAGTTAAAAAAAAAACACACCACACCAAAGCTAAAAAACAACAAACCAACCCACGTGCATACGTGCTCCACATTTTTGCATGAAGAATAAGCAGAGGGGTTCATCACAGAAGTAAAACACACAAAATACTGAGTAAAAATTATTCCACTAATTCTTTGCCATTGTACTGCTAGTAAAATGGTTTGGTTTTTTTTTTATTTCATTTTTTTCAAGTGTACTGAAAGAAAACCAATTATAATTTCTAATCATTGCTCACTAAAGTCTGTATCAACAATTTTTATGCTCAGTGACTCAGTATTTAGAAGGATGTGACTCAGTATCTAGAAGGGTATAATCAGTCTAACAGGAAACCTATTCCCAGTGCCCGAGGGAAGGGCACAGAAAATACTTGTTTTGCTTGGAACTCTTCATATCCTCACTTGGCAAATAAATTTAACTAGAGGTAGGGAAA